CCTTTGAATATATATTGTTTGACTCATATGAATATGCCCTTAGATTCCCAAGTTTTGAGTCCAGAAATGTACATAAGGGAAAATATGTAGATCTAGAAGAATTGAGTGATTTGAAAATAATTCAATAGTTTGCTAACTTAGATATCCTTCTAATTCTGTAAATTAGTGAACTTATCTATCCTAGATTTATTCGATTGTTTTACAATAACTTACATGTAGATGTACATGATAGAGTATCCACTTATCTTTTGAGACATCATATACCTATTATAGATAGCACAATTTGCAATCTTATAAGAATTCCTGAAAACTGAAAAGGTTACTATTTTAGAAGACAATGGGACACTGAATTGGTTGGGGTTATATATTCTGAGGCGTTAGGTATTATGTTTGAAAATCCTAATATGTCTATTGTTCCTAAAAGTAGTGAGCATTTACTGTCATTCAACACAAAACTATTTCATCACATCATAATTAGTATTCTACTTCCCAAACAATACTATCATGGTAAAGTTAGTTAAATGAAAATAGGTACAATATATTGGATTATGATAGGATGTGATAATTGCTTTGGATATTTGATACGTCAAAATATAACTGAGTTGTCAATAAAAGACATGATACTTCCATATGATGGCTTATTTACTAGACTAATACATACATATGACATAGTCATTCCACCAAATGAAGAAACTATGAAACTAGATAAATTTAATATTATCAATAGAAACTTATTAAGAAGATTAAGATGCATAGTAAAAAACCATGTTTGGACTAGATTACCCAGAAGAACTGATCCTCCCTCACTTGAGCCAAAATCATAAATACCTATATATAGGGAGAGTCAATCTCCTACTAGTCCGTTTAAGGTAGCACCTTCAACAGATCCAGCACCCTCCTCATCTACTAATTCCATAGCAACTCGACTAGATCGAATTGAACATTATCATAATCAAATTTTAACTGAGATACAACATATTCATGCTCATTTTAATACTCTATTTAGGTATTTTGGATTACCAGCACCTTAGTAGCTTATATATTCCTCCTTTTTATTGATGACAAAGGGGGAGAAGTCGATGGTTTCTTGACGTGTTCTTTGTCTTGCACTCTTTGATGTTATAATGTATTTTTTAATGTTTTGCACTCGTTGATATTATGATGCACTTCTTGATGATATTATGATGAATGCAATGATATGCATATAATACTTTTGATATTATCTTGATGCTATGCATATGAAGTATGAAATGATGATCTTTGTAAAGAAAATAATTAAAATTATTTCGACTTGAATTCTAAAGTTATCATTTTATGAAATTCAAAGTTTCTTTCAATATAGCATATAGATAGGGGGAGTTTAGTTTAAACTCTATCATCAATTGGTTGTCATCATAAAAAAAAGGGGAGATTGTTGAATCTCGGATTTTGATGATGAAATCAATTGATGAGTTTACAATCTAATGTACCGTTTGAGAAAAGTGATGCATGACTAACTTCGATCATGAAAAAATAAAATAATTAAAAGAAAAGAAACAAAAGTTGGGCCAGAGTAAGAGATCGGGCATCGGGTTGGAAGAATCGGACGTTGTGGGAGTCAACATGCCAATCGATTGGGTGATACGCCAAAGGTTCGGATGATACGCCAGAAGTTCGTCGGAAGTTCACTGAGAGCTTGGATGAACAAATGACAAGTCAAACAACTTAGATTTACTGTCTTGTAATTATTTAAATCTTTATTATTGTAATTAGGTTTTAATTTGAGTTAGTTTTAGGAGTAATCCTACTAACTCAAATAGAGACCAATTGAGCCTTAATCAAGGCTGAATTGGGCCTACTGTTTGGCCCATTTAGTGACCTAGAGCCACTTCAGGCAATGGTATTGCCTAAATTGGGGGATGGTACCATTGGCAGTTCATGTTTTCAAGTAGTAGTACCATCAGAGCCTAGTCTCTGAGGCTCTATCAAGCGGTCATACCACTCAGACTGGTGATAGTACCGCTAGTTATTAGGGGAGCAGGTGGTAGTACTGCCCAGTACTGGCAGTACTACCGTCAGAACCCCGGAAACTCATGATGTGATACTTTTTGGCTCTAATTTTGAAGTCATTTTGCACTTACAAATACCCCACACTTTCACAAAGAATGAAAAGTGAACAAAAGTCTTGATATTTTGAATTGTAAATGTCTTGAAAATGTGATAGGTGCCCTCCTCTTTCTTAAGATTTATGATCATTCTAAGAGAGGTGTGAGACTTGTAAAGGTTGTCTCCTAAACCTGTAAAAAAGAAAAAGAGTTATAAGAGCGTAGTTGGTCTTCGCCCATTGAAAGAAGACCGTTAGTGATCGTTGGTGTCCTTAATGGAAAAGGAATCGGGAGTAGACGTAGGTCACGACGATCGAACCACTATAAATCTGATGTGCTCTTTTCCTTTATTGTTTACCTTTATTGCTTACTAGTTTTATTGCTCACTCCACTTTACACTTATTCTAAGTCAAGCTCACTTTCGATATAGACTTTCATCGAATGTAATTTTTTTAAAATCATCGAAAGTTTTCGATAGTACTAATTCACCACTCTTCTTAGTGTCATTCACAATCCTAACAGCCGAAACCTATATGAATATCATAACTCGATCATCTTCCATTGCAATATGCTTCTCTCTTTAATTGATGAGTCATTGACTTTGATTTACCTGCTTTGTTTCAACTTGTCGTTAAACAGATTTAGTTAGAAAGGTTGATAGAGTTAGAATGTACATTTGTATTTATGTTCAAGCCTCTTCGAGGTGTGTCGCATTGCAAGTGTTTGAATTTTGTTGGTTGGAGCTTCATTAGTGTCATGTTATTGAACTTGAAGAATTTAAGGACTTCTCTAGCAAAGTTTGCCCTTCACATCTTTAAATCCTTCCGGGTAAACTTGCGCTATCCCCCATTTTTGAGGTAACTCCATTAAAGGATATTTTGTGAATGTGTCACCTTCAACATAGCCGATCACCAAATGGGGAACAATTGATGGTTGCTAGCTTTTGAGTACTTTGAATGGACTTCCATTTAATACAAAGTTTGAAGAGAATTTAATTAATTCGATTAGCTTCACCCAAATTTCTCGATTGTACTCCTTTCATTGAGCTTATTATTTATTTTCATCCATTCTTCAATATGTACTTATGGAGTATTGGAAATGTTATTTGAATCTAAGTTGGGTTTCACCTTCATAGAATATTTATTTAATAGCATTTGTCATGCCTTTGGGATTATTCATGATGTATTCGTATGCTCCCCTCGAAAGCACAAGTTTGACTAGTGCTCGCAAATCCCACCATTATATTACCATGATCTATCCTAAAATATTCACGGTCTTCTTCTTAAAATTTCTTGACCAAGTCTTTTCTCGGATAATTGAATTTCTCTCGTACTTTCTGCACATCATATGTAATGTAGTATTTCTCACATGATATTCTATCGATCAAACAGTAACATTTTGGTGTGATTATTATGTTGCATGGCTTTTACCGACTCTAATTCTTTGGACATTTGCTTAACATTGACATTTACTTACTTGGACTTACTCCTTGAAAGTAACGAGATATCCATAAGTAAATATAAGCTATAGACCAATTTATTGTCCCTCGTTTGAGAGGTGGATAGTTGATTGAATCTTCAAATCTTTTATTATGTTTGAATTGTTATTCCACCTTGTATCCTTATGAAAAGGGCTTTGACAATTTAGTTTTGACATAATGATATTTTTTGAAAGTGTCCATCTTTTGACTTGATTTTTTTATCACTTACATAGTTGAAAATATGTGTTTTTTTAAACTCTCTTTGAAAGTGAAACCGTGCAGGAGAGTCATCGGTTATCAGAAAAGCAAAATTTAGGAACAATATTAGTATTGCTTTCATCTCCCACAAGTTATCAGAATAACTTGAAAGCCGTTCAAGAGAAACGTTCTAATCTTTGATTTTGATATAGATTTCCTTTGCTTATCTCGAAATAAGCCCTATCTCTAAATTGACTATCTTTATGCGGCTTAGATTATTCGATATTTCACCCTAGAAGAACGTTAACTATAAAACAACCCATGCCACATAAGAATATGGCTATTTTGATTATTTTCTCCTGCGCAACCATAAATATATCCATGTTTCACAAAGCAGAAATTAAAAATAAAAATACTTCTCAAAAAACAAGACTAACATCAGTACTACTGTCTCATGCATTCTGGGTATAAGAAAATTACTAAATATTAAAAAAAATAAAACTCAAATGTACGATACACGTCAAAAATAAAGAACGGATTTTACATAAATATTTCTACTAAACACCAATAAGGAAGGATAAACATAAGATTTGGTCTTACTCTATGATGTCATCATAAACCCAAATGAACAGCAAGTGTTAAACAATTATTAAGCATTGAAAAAAGCAAGTGTTAAACATAAATATTGCACAAATCTTTTGAATTGTGCATAGAAAAAAATAGATATAAGATTTATATTTTGATTGGATAACGGTAAAAGTTTAAATAATTATAAAAGGAACCGATATATTTATAAATTTGAACGAACACCGTATAAAAGAGAGACAACCAATAAGACTGAATGAGGCTCAGCTCCTAAATCGCCGGCATGACAATATCGATCAAACCACAAGCATCATCACGATGATCGCGATCCTAAGCCGAATCTCAAAGCTGCAGAAATTAGAGGACCAACATATTAAAATCCCGAAATTATACAACTAATCGTGATACCAATCCCATGTATGCATCTCTGACTTGACCGAGACCACGGCCATCCATGCCCGCAGCCCACATGTTCATCCACTCTGTGGTCTTAATCCAAACCCCATTCCATCTGCTCACATCGAATGGACTCCAATAGCCACAGTGTCGTCAAAACCAACGGCATGATCCCACCTGAACTCAACCACTCTCTTCCCTTTCCTCTTTCCTCTTTCCTCCAAACCATTGTCAGTCCCACGCCTTGGGCAGAGCAATTACCATCAACTAAACAAAAGGCGGCAGCCGGTGGTTTCTGTCGCCGTTCCGAGGCTTCCTCCAAAACCAGGGGGCACCGGAGCCCCTATAAGTAGAGGACGAGGTCACTCTGCCACTCCCGGAACTCGATCGAGCTCCGTGTGGAGAGAGACCTGAATCGGTGAGGAGGACATGAGCTCCCTGCAGGCATGGGTGGCCGAGCACAAGCTCACGAGCATCGGTAAGATTTCAAGCTCACCAAATAGTACCTCGTTCTCCGGTATCCTGCTGCTGAGTCGAGTGTCCTCTGTGTTTTGCGTAGGTGCTGTGTGGGCTTCTGCGCTGGGAACGTCGCTGGCAGTCGCACACAAGTGGTCGCCGACGGTGAAGACGAGCCTTCGGCTTATACATGCGAGGTGGGTACCGATTTGTTCGTGGTGTTGTCATTGGTATGTAGATGAGATGGGGGAGGATTAATGTGCGTTCGGGCCACAGGATGCACGCGCAGGCGCTGACGCTGGCGGTGCTCTCGGGAGCGGCGCTGCTGCACTACTACGACGCCAAAGACAAAGCTGCAACGGATGATGTCGAGAGTGCGACGCCACCACCTTGGCTTAATTAATTAGCTATGAGATGATATTTTATATGCTATGGGAAGAACGGTAGCAGCGGCTGCCGTTTTCATCCTCCTCTGTTCCTTCTACTTGGTTTTTCTTACGAGAAGTTGAGGCTTTGTATGTATAAATACGTATTGGTTGCGTATGACGAAATTGGAATCTAAAAGGGTGTAAATATAAGGCTCCCCCACCACAGTATCTTTCCACGTCCAGACATCCCTCCCTTGTTGATGACGGGCTGAGTAAGCACCGGTGGATATGAGTGCTCACCTACGACTACTCCATGAAAGAAACATGTAACTTACTCACCTCGTCCTATTCCGTAAGGAGTTGGAATCAGTACACGACAGCGATCGATGTCAACAATGCGGAGATAGGTGAGTGGTCTTCGATGGCACTATTCCTTGGATGGCGTAGAACTCAAGAGATGGTAGCGCTTAGGGCATGTAGAGCCTGTCGCCGCACTTGCACCGCCACGCCTCCGGGTAATACTCCGTGGTCACTGGAGTGCCGGGCGGCAGCGCCACGTGCACGGGTTGGCACGGGGTGCATTCGCCGCACTTGCCTGTACACCGTGGAGGGGCCGACCCTGGCTCGCCGCCCACAAGCTGCCTCCGCCTCGCCTCTGCCGCCGCCGCCGCCGCCTGCAGTGCGGTCACCCGGGTTAAGTTAGCACGAGCAACTCAAACAAAGCTACACCGCGGGAGCTGAAACAGTGCGATAGTTTTCCGCTCCGCCAGAGGTCGTTCTTATTGAGATTGTTGGAGATGGTGTGGATCAGGCCTCCGGAGACTAATGAAATGGCGACAGGGAAGTGATGAGAGAAGAAAAGCGAAGGGGTTATTAGGATATGAGCACCTGAGGGTAGGGCTCCGTGACTGAGCTTCCAACACCTGTGACAATGACAACGTGCATGAAATGATGAAGCAATCACCGGCAGAGAGAATCTTGAGACTTACCTACATCGACGATTTGGCAGAAAGGAACGCTCGAAAGCAGAGCGCAAAGAGAGAAGAGGCAGACGAAACCGCAGCATAAGACTACAACATCTTTTACCTGCAACCCGAGTCTTCTCCTCCCTCTTCTCGTTTCCATCACCTGCAGCCCTCTCATAGAGCTCAGGGATGCAAAGGATGGGATAGAAAGAATCAGAGAAGCCGAGATCTGAAACGGTTACCTCTTGCTGGTACTACTGCCACTACTACTGTGGCAGCCCCAGATCTGTGAGACGACCTCTGGACGAGACAAGCTGTGGAATTTAATGATATTATTCGTGGGAGCACCCTTTTCAACTCCTCTTACTCTGCCTTCTTTCGAACGCTTGCAGACTGCTCCTACTACTGCCGTTTGCTCTCTCTCTTGTCTTTCTCGGAAAGCGGGGTGAGGCATCTTATTATGGGTCATCGAACTCTCGCTTTCACGACCCCTGCAAGCTTTCTTTGTAATGACAGGTTTGGCCTTGTAACAACGATGTCCAGACACCAAAATGAGGACGAGATAAAGGTCTAGATTCATTGGAATATGATTTATATCCTTACGATCTGAGGTGTAGAGGACCGCACAGTTGCGGTAGCACCTAATGGCCTCACGAAAGCTTAGAACACTATTGCAGGAAGTAGACGTCCACCAATTATGATATTATATGAAAAGGACAATCCAACCAAACGAGTATTAGAGATTAATCTTCTGGGCGCTGAAGAAAATACTGAAGAGGGTCTCAGCGGTCATTTGAAGGAATACATAGTTCATTGGGAAGGTAAGTGAGGAAGGACGGGAGGATGAGACGCATTGATCAGTGGAGTGTGACAGATTGAGTCAGGAATCCCAAGGCTGTTTGTCTCCCATTTCTTGCTTGCCGTCTCTCTGCTTCGTGTCTTCGTTCACATCCATCGTCGATCCGTCCCCTTTTGGCCACTGTACTTAGGGATTCAACACTTTACCCGTTGTAGTAGTCTTCCCATGTCCCAAACAACGATGGCTATCGTTCTAAATGAGTTGTCACAACCACACATCTTGCTTGGGCTATATCTTCACATTGTCACTCTATCACAGTATAATTACTGTGGCACGTTGGAAAGAAGCTAATCAAAGAGGACATCAATGTATACAAAAATAATTTACTTCTGTTACATTGGTACTATGGATACTGTGTATACGTATTGGCACACTGAGAAGACGTAAAGAAAGGGCGAGTCATCCGGAGAAGAGCCTGGAGAAAAAATTGCCGGTATTTGGTTTCTCTAAGCATGCCACATGAACATATCTTCCGAGTTTGTCGACCTGCCTTGGTTCCCCTTTCGTGTCCTTCTTGCATACCTTGCAGGTCTTGTCCACCCAACCTTCCTCCACGTATTGCCCGTCAACTACACACAGAATCAAACCAAGTCAGCATTTCTATAATGATCAGCGAAAAGGAGGAATCTTTTAGTATTTAAAGTACCATCTACGTAGGACTTGAAGAAATCCTTGTAGGTGCCTCCAATCTTCCTCCGAAGCGCACCATACTGCACCAGAATCATGAAGAGAAGAGTTACTAGAGATGTTTAGATCATGTCAAGTCACAGATGATGGTGTTACAGTACGTACCTGTTCTCTAGTCATCTTCTTCCCCGATCTGGTGATCTCCCTCGCGTCCTCTATGAGCACGGCATCCTGAGAGGACCTCACCTGGGAGAAGTCGAGGGCTTCGGTGATGCTTCCAAACAAGGACTGCTTGCTCTTTTTCGTCGCTCCTTCCTCCCCGCTCTTCTTTTCCTCCGTCATAGCCCACACTCTTCCTGGCCTGACGGAGCAAGCACTGGCCCTTGGAGCACATCTGCTGTTGCAGGATCCAAGGGTCGGAGGGCAACAGTTGTGTGATGAGGACAACGGAAGAGCGCGCATCTCCATGGCACTGAAACCCTTCCGTTATTTCAAGAGAGGAGAATGAGGCAGCCTCTCATATTTATGAGACCCATGAGCCATTTGTCGGACGCAGCAGAGCCACTGCCAGTTTTATGTGGTGGGTGCAAGGGGACGTGGCGTCGTGTTTAACCTGGTGAAACCAGAGGAAGAGGAGGGCTCGACTGTGGCCGTGTGGAGAGCAAAAAATCTCAGGTTGTAGTGGTGGTACTGTGTCTGGCTGTGAAAAGCCTTGGGAGTCTTTGTTAGATTCCCATGCCCACAATTCTCCACCTCAGATCTGCTATAAGTTGCCGTGCAATGACTCCCAAGGCACTGATTACAAAGAGACAAGTCGCTCAGATCACTGTAGACACTGAAAAGTCATGAGCGATAGTTGGGGATTTAACGCCTGACGCCACGATAGGTAACAGCGGAAGTACGTACGAAGGAGAACAGCTACTATAGTACACGGTTGTGGAGATGCTTTGACGCGGTTTTGCTCGCAAATCCCACTCTGACAGCATTAGATTTCTGCCGTAATCGTTTTCCTATTCGCCGGCACCGCGTGCTCCAAATCTCGCGTGTACAAGATTGATTAAAGATCCGTGTGGTCTAAGTCAAAGCTCTTGAACAGGTCAACTCCTCTCCTCCTCCTCCACTATAAACCCTCAAATCCCTCTCTTAGTTTGCTCGCTCTACTCTGCTCAGCTTGCTCTCTGTTCTCCTCTGCATTAGCCTCCAAAGAAGTCCGCTAATATGCAAATGGCGATGGTGGGAAAGTCTCAACTCATCTTCTTGCTGCTGCTCTTTTCAATCGCACCACAATTCTCCATTTCCAGGCCCTTGAATGGATGGTTTGACACCGACCTCCAAGCAATTGACCCAAGCATAAACGTGGCTCTCCCGAGAGGGGGTCAAAGGATTCCACCGCTGGTGGATTCAATTAACCCAGTTGATGGTTCTCTGTGCAGCTTCGGTACGGCAGTGAACTCACCGCCATTAACGTTGTCGAAGCAGAATCTCGTCGTCCGGAAGCAGACGGCGCCGCTGCTGTGCAACCTCTTAGCCAGAGGAAAGATGCCGCCGGCGCCTTCTGGCCCAAGTCAGGGAATCAACGACAAGCACAGTTAGCCAACTCGATCTGGAGAAGTGTTTTCCTCTTCTTTGATTTGTTTTACCAAATTGAGGTCATTTATTCCATGAGTATACTACGGAAAATATAATGTACGAGCTCAGATATACGGATTTCAGTCCCAACGCTTTGGTCTCATTAATGAATGATCTACTGAAGTGCAGCAAGAACACGTCATGAATGATCTCATCTTAATTGCATTATGCTCATCTTTTTCTAGGAAGAAGCCCAAAGGGCATTCTATCATTACAAAAGGTATGAAATTATACATGAAGAAAAGGACAAAAATGATGAAGGGAAAAAAGAAAAGAGGAGTCAATGAAACAGAGACATCTTTCTCAAGACCTGATATTTAGCTTGAAACGTGTGATATAGTCACCGACACAAAAGCATACTTGTATAAGAACAAATTGGGGTGACAAATTAAACTAGCCCAAATGAAGGACATGATGCAGACATCTAAGTGACAAGAGAAGAATCATCATTATGGTGCCGACCCAGAGGATATAACTGGAAACACAACGAACATTTGTGTTTCCAATTGGAAACACAACTCGGATGTTGTGATCACTTTAATCGTATAACTATTTTTTATTTTTAGAATAATTTTATATTTGCTGTTAGGTTAGAATTACACATTTGGGCTATAAGCTATATATATATGTGTCTCAAGCATATATCGTTGTTGTTGTTAGTGTTGCTAATACCATAAATTTAAGTTTCGTCTATCTTTTGTTGAAAAATATAGTTTGTGACTAATGTTCTTGTAATATGATTGTTTGATACACAAGTGACAAAAGAGTTTTGATACATTGGTAATTCAATGTCATGTCATGTTTTATTACACGTCTTATTACATGTTAGTCAAATAATTATCTCATGATGATTAATTTGATACTAGCATAGAGGCCCATTTAGCCTTACATGACAATTATCAATTCTCGTATTAGGTTAAATTATAGTATAATTAGTAATTTGATGCACGATTTTATAGATCATAGATAAATTATCGATGATCTATCCCCATGTTATCATTTATTTCAATCCACAAATGTTCTGACAAATGGGATAGACATTTGTCTAGTATACCTATGATATAATTTTTATAAAATTATTATCAAATCTTTCTTTTTTTCAATACTCTAACTTGCGATAAACTCGAAGTTGAATCAAAATTGGATTTGAGCTCCTAATGTATCAAACTTAGATATTATGATTACTTTAATGGTGTCACCATTTTCTTTTTTTATATTTTTTAGATTTTTTTTTTCCTCATGTAGGCCACAAGCTCTCTATCTATCTCAGGGATAGGCTACTACTGCTGTTGCTAATATCATAAATTTAAGTTCCACATCTATGCCGCTGAAAAATGTGCCTTGTGACTAATGTTCTTCCAGTTTATTTGGTCGATGCATAAAAGTAAAGCTGAAGGCAGCATGCTTGTTAAATTGGACCAGAAATGATAACACAAGTCTCCCGACTAATGTGACTTGGATGCAAAAGATGGTCAGTGAGAACTCAAACCCTGTCATCAAATTAACTGATAGAGAGAGAGAACTCACAACCACATCAAGCTAAAAGAAAAGGTTTTATGTGTTATCGGTGAAATATTAATAATGCATCGAGGAGAGACTTCCAATCCATCCCATCTCCAGTTTGCTTTGAGAACCCTCAGCCCGGTAGCTTTTATACATCTTTAATTCCCCACATTTATACGTCTTCCACCTCATGGACCCCACCCTGAGCTAAAGCGACCCTGAGCCTTCTCTATTTATATCCCACCTTCTTCCCATCGTCCTCCCACACAAAGAATTCTGTCACTCTCTCACACACGCACAATAAGCCAAAGCTTATCTTGTGAGGCACTTGCGTGCATGGTTATATTGGCTGTCTCAATTGTCACTTCACAATAAGAAGAAAGCAGATTGGGTTTCTTCCTTCTGATATTCTTCTCTCTGTCCTAATTCCCAGAAGACTCTGCTTCTTTCTTTCAGGTGATCCAATTTGGTTTCTGAGTGATGGGAAACTATAGGTTTCGGCTATTGGACATGATTGCCAATGCTTGCTTCTACAAGCTCAAACACACGGGCCAGAGAGCACACAAGAACTCCATGGGAAGAGGTCAGCCTCCAAGAGCAGCAGCAACCACCACTCCGGTTCATTTCTCGCCTCCGGAGCCTAAGCTTCTTCCCAATAGAGCCTCTCACTACTACTCCAGCAGAGCGGAAGCCGACAGGTTTTCCTTCTCCCCCACCCGTTCCAAGGTTTTGGACACCCATTTCCCCGTGGAACCAGCAAGGAAGTCCAAGAAGTGTGTGAGGAGGAAGCCCATCAGAGCTGCTCCCACAAAACCCAAGCTGGCCGCCTCCTCCGTCCCAGAATTTCCTGCGGTAGCGTCGCCAGTGACCCCGCCGTATCAACTCGACCTCTACATCGACGGCGACAATCATGAGTTCCAGGGGATCCACGCCGGTGACCGATTCAAGTCCGAAGACGCTTCCTCGTGGCCGCACTCTCGTAGCTGCAGAGTAACATCCTCTGCCACCGACGTCATCGTTGAAGTGGACACCAACAGCTCCACCACTCAAACGCAGAAGAAGCTCGACGAATTCGATTCGGTCTCAGAGCTTAAACTCCGTCCAATTATCACCAAGCCGGCGACCAGTGAAGCTGAGCAGAGCAAGAAGCAAGCCAAGAGATCGTCTCCCGGACTTCACCGGTTTCCGATGAGAGCCAACTCTCCGAGGCTGGCGAGAAAGAAAGTTCAGGCCCAGCTTGGCCAGAGGTGCGGCGGGACGGAGGCAGCGGCAGCGCTCGAGAGGAAGGGCTTCTTGGAGAGCTTCGCGGTGGTGAAGTCATCGTCGGACCCTGGGAGGGACTTCAGGGACTCGATGGTGGAGATGATCGTGGAGAACAACATCCGGGCATCGAAAGATCTGGAGGAGCTTCTTGCTTGCTACCTGTTACTCAACTCCAACGAGTACCACGATGTCATCGTGAAGGCGTTCGAGCAAATCTGGTTTGATCTCGCCGAAGTTAAGCTAAGAAATCGGAGGAAGGAGTGGCTTAAAGATCACAGTTTGAATGGTTGTACAATGTCATAGTGTGCATGTTGGAGTTACAAGGCATCACAATAAGGCCGATCGATAGCGTCTGCTTTGGCAGACAAGCGGAGAGTCGAGTCAAAGAAGATTGTGATATAATAATCAAAATAGTGGTTTCGTGGCTGAATTGTGATATTTGTTGCGAACCATAGGCGTGTGTACAAATTTGCATGTCTCATCTAATGTTGTTGGTGGGGGATAAGATTCTAGTGCCCCCACCCCCCACCAAAACAGCAAAAAAAAAAAGGGATAATTTTTTATAAAAAATCTTAAAATTTAAAAATATTTCTGTTTTAATTTTTTTAAAATTTTTATAAAGTATCTTTGCCCATATAAAAATATTATTTTACCATTACCTTCATTGAATCCACCATCATCTCCCCCTGTATTGTCGTCTTTGCTCCCTCGTTAAATCTCACCTTGTTAGATCTATCATCAACAACCCTTGCATGAGGAAGGAAGCGCGAGAGCCATTGTTGCCTTCACTTGTAGCTCTTACACGAGGAATGAGAGGAGAGGTAATTGTTAGAATGCGATGAGGGTGATACCGATGGGAATGTTTGCCCCATGAGAAACTGTTTGGGGGGTAGAGGGAGATGGTCGTTGGGACAAAAGCATAGCCAAGGGCCAAGCGAAGGGGAGTTGGCTAACATAAATAGATGTTAAGATCAACAACGGCACTAAGATGGGTGGGGGGGGGGTGCAATAAATTAGTGCAGCAGAAAACTTTTACAATTTTAGAAAATTATGAGTTTCGTTTAAAACCAATTCCAATGAAAATGGTTTCGATTCAATCTATTTCGGAGAGAACTTGAACTTGAAAGCTTTGGTAAAAGTGCAAGAGAAGATTAAGGAGGTTTGCAGTAAAGTAAATTGCACAAATGAAAAGTAAACCAAAATTTAGAGTGGTTCGGTCAAGGTGACCTACATCCACTTTCGGATTCCTCCTCCGACGAGGTCTGTGGCATCCACTAAAGGCCTTTCTTCAATAGGTGAAGACCGAACACCTTTTTACAGCACTTTCTCCTTTTTCTGGGTTTAGGAGAGAACCCTTACAAGTCTCACACCTCTCTTGAATGATCTCAAAATTTAGAAAGGGAGGAGAAGGACTCTAGTACTTATTTACAACACTTTTACACCCCAATAACTCAAGATTATAATCACACTTCGGTACCTTTTCATGCTGAAAAGGGTGGGATATTTATAGGCCCCAATAGCTTTAAAAAATAGAGTCAAAAAGTGTTTCATCCCGGATTTTCGGAGTACTGACAGTACCACTGCTTGACAAAGCTCGGAGACCAAGCTCTAGCGGTACTACTGCTTGACTAGGGCGATGACACCGCTGGTAGCAATAATTGTCAGTGGTACCACCGCTTGATAAAGCTCAGAAACTGACCTCTAGTGGTACCACTGCTTGACAAGGGCGGTACCATCGTTGACAGCAATAATTATCGGCGGTACCACTGCCCAGACCACTTGGGGTGCTGCTTTCCAAGCGATGCCACCACCGACTAGGAATTTAGCATCCTGGTTGGGCCTTGACTCCGATCCAAACCAGCCCAACTACAAGCCTAGTTGGCCCTTAATAGAGTTGATGAGATTACCTCCCAAATCAACTCTAATTATTATTCTAACTGTTAGAGCTAGCCCTAGGAAATTTACCATAAGGTAATTTTGGCAACACAACAAAGACAATAAAGCGGAAAGAATAAAAGCGACAAGAACACCTGATTTACGTGGTTCGGTCAATTGACTTTGACCTATATCCACAGACGAAAGAGGAGCAAATCACTACTATAAAAGGGACAATTACAAATGTCTTAGGAAGATGTTCCTAGGAAAACACCCGAAAATACTAAACAAGAAAAACTTAAAGTATAAGTCCAAACTATTTAACTGAGGGTGGACTTAAACCAAAGTAAATACTTAGGTTTTCTTGTGGTGCCACTTGTGATGCGACTTATGGTGCCACTTGTGATGTGACTTGTGGTGCATCTGACTTCAAAGCTCAAACCCTTATTTATAGTTCGAATACGAGACAACAAGTCTGATTTTTCCGATGTGGGATTATGGGACTTGCCAAACTAACAAATCTCCACCTTGGCATGTCCTAACAAAACTTGCTCCACCTTCTTCATAAAAGCCCCAACGGGCAATCACTAACAATGAACACCAACCAAGTCCAAGCACTGCTTGAACTTGTAAACCGGAAGAGGCTTCGTAAACATATCAGCTGGATTGTCCTTCATATGAATTTTCTGAACAAGGACCTTTCCCTCAGCACTAGTATCCCATTTGCATCTAACAATTTTCTTACCTGAAGGCGGCTTCACAAGATCCCAAGTTCTATTCCGATGGAGAGACTCAATTTCTTCATTCATCGCAATCAACCACTTAGCAGAATTATCACAAGAAACTGCATCCGAGTAGGAAGTAGACTCACCAACTTCACTTGTCTCTTCTACAACAGACAAAGCATATGCAATCAAATTTGCATATCTTTGTGGTGATCGAATATTTCTCCGTGGTCTATCCTTGGCTATGGAATATTGCTCTTCCTCTAGATCATCTTCGTTAGTAGACTCAAGACCATCTACCGGCATTCTTTGAATAGAAGAGTTCAACTTAAAAGAATCTGAATTACCAATCTCAAGCTCCACCTACTTCTGCGCATTATCATTTGTACAACTAGTAGAATCCTCTTTAGAAGATAACATAAACAATTCATCAAAAGTAACATCTCTACTGATTACAAATTTTGGGGATTTGGGATCAGAACACCATAATCTGTATCCTTTCACCCCAGAAGCATACCCAAGGAAAATGCACTTTTTAGCTCGAGGCTCTAATTTTCCTTCATTTACATGCATGTATGCTGGACACCTAAAAATTTTTAAATCAAAGTAATCAACAGGAGTACCTGACCAAACTTCCTCCGGAGTTTTAAAGTTAAGTGCTGCAGAAGAAGCGCGGTTGACAACGTAACAGGCCATATTAATCGCCTCTACCCAAAAGTCCTTTGTCAACCCTACATTTGAGATCATACATCTTGTTCTCTCCAAGAGTGTTCTGTTCATACGTTCGACCATACCATTTTGTTGAGACGTCATCCTAACAGTGCGATGCCGAACGATTCCTTCATTTTTGCAAAATTCATTAAAGTCACCTTCACAAAATTCCATGCCATTATCTGTTCGAAGTTGCTTAATATGTTTACTTGTTTGCTTCTCAATCAAAGCCTTCCATTGTTTAAAGGTTAGAAAAACATCATTTTTATGCTTCAAAAAATAAACCCAAACTTTCCTAGAATAATCGTCAATGAAAGTCAACATATACCTAGCACCACCCTTAGACTGAACATGAGCTGGACCCCAAAGGTCTGAATGAATATAGTCAAGAGTACCTTTCGTTTTGTGAACTGCCGGAGAAGTGAAGCTGACTCTTTTCTGCTTTCCAAAAATGCAGTGTTCACAAAAGTCCAGTGGCCCAGTACTTTGTTCGCAAAGTAGACTTCTTTTGCTCAATATGCTCAAACCTTTTTCACTCATATGACCCAAACGCATATGCCATAATTTGGTGATGTCAAAATCAGATAATGATGATGACGAAACTGCAACCAAACCTGTGACAGTAGTTCCCTGCAGAATATACAAGCTACCAGACCTACAAGCTTTCATAACAACAAGAGCACTTCTAGAAACTTTCATAACTCCACCTTCAGCTGTGTATTTACACCCAAGGGCCTCTAGGGTGCCTAAAGAGATGAGATTCTTTTTTAAATCAGGAACATGTCTAACATTAGTGAGCGTCCTCACAATACCATCATCCATTTTAATTCGGATTGTGCCTCTACCAACAACATCACATGCGACATTATTGCCTATCAAAACAATTCCACCATTACAAGATTCATATGTGGAAAACATATCCCTATTGGGACACATGTGATAAGAACAACCTGAATCTAAAATCCATTCATTTTTAGACCTCGTCCTATCATCAGTAGCAAAGAAAATATTTTCAACATTCTCATCAGATGCTACACTAGCTTCAGCGGACTCAGTAGTTTTCTCAACAAGTTTTCCCTTTTGCTTTAATTTATTTTTCAATTTAAAGCAATCAGTCTTATTGTGCCCCATTTTGTGACAATATCTACATTCCAAATTTCTATGTCTGGATTTAGATCTACTACTGTCAAATTCTCTTTTATCCATTCTCCCCCTGACAACCAGACCCTCAGCCTGATTCTCTCTACTTTCCCCAGTGATATTCCTGTCTATCTGTTCCTTAGATTTCAGTGCAGATTTAATTTCTTGATACAAAACTATTTCTTTTCCATAAATCAAAGTATCACGGAAATGCTTAAAAGATTGGGGAAGAGAACACAAAAGTAACAAAGCCTTATCCTCATCATCAATTTTTGCATCTATATTCTCCAAATCCATAACCAAAGAATCAAACTTATCAAGATGCGAGAGTATAGATGTACCTTCAATCATCCGAAGCATATACAGACTCTACTTCAAGTAGAGACGATTCTCCACTGTCCTCTTCATGTACAAGGTTTTAAGCTTATCCCACATGCTCTTAGCCGTAGTCTCTGTAGCTACCTCCCGTAAAACCTCGTCAGAGAGATTTAGAATGATGCTTGATCGGGCCTTCTTATCCATACCCACAAGCTCTTCTTTTGACATATCATCTCGAATGCTCTCGGCTCCCTGTAGTACCAAATCAACTCCGTCTTAAACTAGAATGACCTCCATCTTGAGTTGCCACAAGCCGAAGTTGACATTTCTGTCGAATTTCTCGACAACAATCTTTGTTATTGTCATCATTGTCAAAAGATCCCGAAACCAGGCTCTGATACCAGTTTGTTAGAGCTAGCCCTAGAAAATTTACCACAAGGTAATTTTGGCAACACAACAAAGACAATAAAGCAGAAAGAATAAAAGCGACAAGAACACCATATTTACGTGGTTCGGTCAATTGACTTTGACCTACATCCACGGACGAAAGAGGAGCAAATCACTACTATAAAAGGGACAATTACAAATGCCTTAGGAAGATGTTCCTAGGCCATAAAACACCCGAAAATCCTAAACAAGAAAAACTCAAAGTATAAGTCCAAACTATTT